AGTAAGATCCAAAGGTAGTTTTATACAACATTTACAGAACTCATTTCTATGTACATTCAGTAATTTATAATCTATCTCTTTATAACTGGAGGGGAAAGAGATCATGATGATACAGAAATTCTAGTGTGTCAAGGTTGCGATTTCAAAGCCCAAAATATCACACCATGCTTAAACATCAAAAACTTAGATAAATTGTATAGCATTTTGAATCTAACAGACCTGAACAATGAGTGAATATTTACTGAGTTTTCATTATGTCCTATGACTGTGCTTAATATTTTATGTATAATCAGATTTAATCCAAACACTTGATGGTGTAGGATTAATTCTATTTTAAAGATAAGAAAATGAAGTCCTAAATAGACAATATAGGGTAATGGCTTAGAGCATGGATTTGAATCCTGTGTCTGCCACTTATTAATTGCTGCACTGCTCTGTGTCTTAGTTGCTTTCCATGTAAAATAGTGGAAATAATAGTACTTTCTTCATAGCACTATTTTAAGCATTAAACGACTTGATTTATGTAAATCACTCAGAACAGTGACTGGTGCATAGTGTTATAAATAGTGTTAGCTAATATAGCTTAATCATCTGAGCTCTTTCATTTGTATAGTCACCTTTCAAGGCCACAAAATGACCTTAGCAAATTTTTAAAATTCATACTTGCAAGTTTTTTTACTTAAAGGGCACCCCCCCACACACATATACATTGTAAAATTTGGATTTGCTCCTGCATATTATTATTATTGTTGTCTTTGTATTAGAAAAATTAAATATTTTCCCCAGGGCACAAAACTCATAACAGCATAGCTGGGATATGTTCTAAGATCTATGTGACGGGTGAGCTGGAATTCTTAGCCAAAATATTTTTCTGCCTATTTCTAGCACTTTCCCTTGTGAGAAAACAAATATTTCCCAACCATATTTCTTTCTTATCTCAAAAGAAGAGAGGAAGTGCTCCACATTCTGCAGTGGGGTCTGCAGTAGCCATCCACAATCATCCATCGCTTTACTCGTATGCATACATGGCTGTGCTCAAGGGGCATGAGGGGAGGAGGTAAGAGCATCCCTAGAGAAGAAGGAGTGGCCATGTTCCTTGATTTCTTTTTCTATGAGAAGCTTGGTAAAGTCTCTTATAGCATCTATTCATCAGCTATGGCCCTTTGCCATTCGAAAGCAAGGAGTGGAGCCTAGGAACAGAGAAGATGAGAAGTCAACCTTGCATTTATGGATTCATTCTTTAAGTTAACCGTCTGTCCACTCAACAAAAAGGTATTGATCTACTACTCTGATCCAGGTACCGTATGGGGACCTGGTGTATTTTGAGTTCCTTTATTCAATCAACATATATTTATCGAGCATATACTTTTTGTTTATCTGGAAAGGAAAAAGACAGGTGAGGTCCCTGCTGTAATTGTGTATAAATTTTTTTTTTTTACAGAATGCTTAAGTCACTTTATTTATAAAAGCAGAGGGCATTCTAGCCTGCAGATATAAACCTTTCAAGATAATTTTCTTTGTTTATCAGCAAATTTAATATTCATTGATCATTCTTATTCTTATTTTGCTTATCACTGCCAGTGCTAAACATCTTCCTAGGGCTCTGTTCCATTCACATAAAGTAAACACTTTGTGCTTGGGTCATCATTTATATTAGTAATTGCTTTCAATTATATCCAACAAATACTCAAACTTTCTCTATAAGGTGTAGTATTACAACAGGCCCCACAGGAATGGAATCACAATCTGGTAAAATAATAGTAAATAATTAACTCTTAAGAAAGCGATGTGGTATTTGGCCAATGTTGTGTTTGGGTGTCTTAAAAAAATCCTTAAGCAACTGTAAGTCATTAGAACACAGAAGTAAGCTGAAGTT